TCCTGCTACTACTCCTACTACTACTACTACTACTACTTCTTCTTCTTCTACCTCTACCTCTACTTCTACTTCCATTCCCACTCCTACTCCTACTTCTACTTCTACTTCTGTTGCGGCGACGACTACTGCGGCACCTGTAGCCAGGCCCTGGGCCGCAGACAAGATTGATGTCGCGCCGACCTATCCCTACAGCCACGGGCGCCTGGGCTGGATGCCAGGGTTTAGGATTGGGGGGTTTTGGCCAGGGTTTAGGATTTGGGGTTTTGCCTTGACTCAAGGTTCTTATAAGGGCTTAGGGTTGAGATTCTAATTTTAGGGTTTAAGGTTCCTATAAGGGTTTAGGGTTTAGGTTCTATTTTTAGGGTTTTTCATTCGAGGGCGGCTTTAGGGTTCGACCTTTCCGAGAGTCTACAAGCCTTATACTATTGTATAATCCTTATAGTATAACCCTTAAAGGAACCCTTTTAAAGGAACCCTCTTCTTATTATTAAGGCCCCTACATGAGCTCGCGGTTTAGGGTTTAGGCTCGAACTAGAGCCTTCAAAAACCCGGGGCGCAGACGCATGAAACTTACAAGTGTTCCAAGGCATCAACCCAGAGAGCCCAATAGCCCCGTGTAATTTAAGGAGTATACCTTAAATCAGAATCATGAGCCCCCTATAGTTTAAGGTGTTTTGCTTAAGTTAAGGGGTACTGGGCTCTCTGGGAAGTACATGAGCAGCTTGAACAAGATCCTAATTAGCCCGGAACCCCAAACCCTAAACCCTTCCCACTTGGGTGGAAGGCCACGGTGGCTGGCAGGAAGAAGAAGATCTATCGGCTTGGCTGCATGAAAGGCCTAAGAGCACGGGCGATAAGTGCAAGTCTACTTTAGGGTTTAGGGTTTAGGGTTTAGGGTTTACTGTTTAGGGTTTCGCTTGAGCCGGTCCTCTCCATGCGCCACCCGCCATTGTTCTTCAAGAACATCTTCGAAAGTAATGCCATCACAGCCATTGTGGATGTCTCCCCCGGCTGTGGGGAGCTCTGCAAAGCGGCTATGACAGCTATGACGTTGAATCGAAGTTGCCATGCCTCGGTCTGCGCATCCCCTCGGACCACCAGGTCATGCTCAAGGCCGACATGGGAAGGTAGCTGCAGCTGTAGATGGCTACTATAGGGACCTTTTTGACCAATACTATTTTGGGGTTCCTTGCTCAGTATAGTTCTAGTGTAGCAAAACCCGAAAGCCCTGCTCTAATTATTAAGGCCCCTACAGTAAAGAGGGTAATGTCAGGGCCTCAATTATTGCTTATATTATTCAGGGGGTTCCTTAAACAAATCTAGTATAATATACCCCCCAAACCCCTATTCTAATTAGTAAGGCCCCTGAACTAAACCCTTGTTGTCTAACCCTTATAGTATAACCCTTAAAGGAACCCTAAACCCTGGACCTTAAACCCAAAACCCTCTAATTATTCAGGCCCCTACATTAGCCCGTTCTACCCGCCCCACTGGAGCAGATCCAGGGCGCGGAGAAGCCCAAGAAGCTCAGGGTGGAGGGTTTTAGGGGTTTAGGGTTTAGAGTTCAGGGTTTTAGGGGTTTAGGGCGGTTTAGAGTTCAGGGGTTTAGGGTTTAAAGTTTAGGGTTTAGGGGTTCAGGGTTCAAAGTTTAGGGTTTAGGGTTTTAGGGTTTAGAATTTAGGGGTTTAGGGTTTAGGGTTTAGGGCTTTCAGGGTTCAGGGTTTAGGGTTTAGGGTTTAGGGCTTTGGGGTTTAGAGTGGGATTCAACAAGCGTCTAAAGTCTAAGTAACTACTGAAGCTATAATGTGGGCTTCTGTATTCAACAAATATATATTCAACATACCCCAAACCCTAAACCCTCAACCCTGAACCCTAAACCCAATTCGGACATGCAGGCCTCCATGTTACACTAAGGGCTGCACATGTTGACGTGTATTCAGATGAAGGTTCTGGAAACAGCTGCTTCCAGAACAGTGTCGCATGTATGTAGTATCTAGGACATTTTCAGGTGGGTAGTTACCGTTATAGGAGCCTTATAGAAGGTCTATATACCTTATGGAAGCCTTATAGAAGCCCTATATACCCTAAACTCCCCGCATGTAGTTGCCTTTCATGGTAAATTGTCTTATATGTAAATCAACAAGAACCCAGGCTTAGCCAGAGCTTTGTTGGCAGCAAGATACGGCTAGCAGGGTTTACGGCTTAGGGGCCTCATAAGTTGATGCAAACCCGTGTGTACCTAGTACCCCCCAAACTCACTTGGATCATAAGAATCAAGTCGTCTGTGCATGATATGCTGAACACGGCTGTTCTCGGCAAGCCTAAACCCTAAACCCAAGCAAAATCCCCAGCTCTCAAATCAGCGCAGTGCAGTGCAGTGCAGTGCAGTGCAGTTTAGCGTTTATGGTTTAGGGTTTAGGATGACGACTTCAATCTTCAGGATGTAGCCTTTTAGGATTCAGGGTAAACTCAGTGGAAGTCTGAACTGCTCAATGCAATGAAGGACTCAGAAATGGGGGTTTCCGAAAATAGGGGACACTAATATAGTACCCTTAATAGTAGGATCCTTATTATAAGGACTCCTAAATAAGGTACCCCTAATTTCAGAAACTCCCAAATGGGAGGAAGCGCCTAACACTGCGGTCATCCAGGTTCAAGCACATGTGGGATCGCGACATCCAGCCGCGGTTTCCGTTTGGCGGGGGCTTCAGCCAAACGAACCCGACTCGGGTGTTGTTGTTTCATGCCGGTTTTCGTGTTTGGTAGGAGATTTTCGACGGCTACGCCTAAACCCTCAACCTTGACCCCTAACCCTAAACCCTAAACCCTAAACCCCAAACTCTAACCCCCAAGCCCTAAACC